CTGAGCTACAACTCCAGCCCCTCTGCTCTCATTTTCCTTTCTTCCCTTCTAATTTTGGATATGGTTTTTGTCTTTTAAGAACACTGAGACACATCATTAGTTTTTGTCAAATCTATTTTTTTAAATGTAGGTATTGCTATAAACTTTCCTCTTAGCACTGCTTTTGCTTTTTCCCATAGGTTTTGGTATGCTGTGTGTCCATTTTCATTTGCTTCAAGGAATTTAATTTTTTCCTTGACTTCCTCAATGACCCACTGTTCAAATTGTATTGTTCAATCTCCATGAATTTGCATGACTTCTAAAGTTTCTCTTGCTATTGACTTGTAGTTTCATTCCAATGTGACCCAACAAAGATACAGGGCATGATTTCAATTTTTTGGAATTTGATAAGATTCGTTGTGAGGCCTACTATTTGGTCTACTTCAGAGAAAGTTCTCTGTGCTAGTGAAAAGAATGCATATCCTGTAACTGTTGGATGGAATGTTCTGTAAGTCTAAGTCCATTTTATCTATGGTGTAGTTTAAATAATGTTGATTTGCTGATTTTTTTGTCTGGATGCTCTATCCACTGGTGAGAGTAGGGTGATGAAATCCCCAACTATTATTGTATGACAGCCTATCTCTCCCTTTATATCTAATAGTATTTGTTTTATAAAATCATGTGCTTCATTATTAGATACATAGATTTTTAATCATTTTATCATCTTGATGATTTCTTGATCATTACATAGTAACCTTTTCTCTGTAAAGTCTATTTGCCAGATATAAGTATGGCTCCTTCTGCTTATTTTCAAATTCAATCTGCATTCACTTTTCTTCCTTTCACTTTCATTCTCTGTGTCCTTACTAGTGAGGTGAGTTTCTTATAGGTAGCATATTTCTGGGTCTTATTTTTTTAAATATTTTTTTTTAGTTGTAGATGGATAAAATATATTTATTTATTTTTATGTGGTGCTGAGGATTGAACTCAGTGCCTCACACATGCAAGACAAATGCTCTACCACTGAGCTACAATCCCAGCCCTGGGTCTTATTTTTTAATCCATTCAGCCAGTCTATGTCTTTTAGTTGGAGAATTAAGACCATCTACTTTTAGAGTTATTATAAAAGGTATGGACTTGTGCCTATAATTGTGTTCATTTTCTTCTAGTTGAATATTGAATATTTCTTCTAGTTTGAATATTATTTCTTTCCCTCTCATTCATCTCTGGGTTTGATGGCATACTATATTGACAACGTCTGATGTTTTTTTCTCATTTGTGTATCTTCTACTAGGGCTTTTCACTTTCACATGCTGTCTTGGTGGTAGTAATCTTTTCACCTTTGGGTGAAGGACCCTTAGACATCTTTTGCAAGGCTGGTCTGGTGATCAAGAACTATTTATTTTTTGCTTATCTTGGAAGGTTACTATTTCTGCTTTGATTCTGAATAGCTTTGCTGGGTACAGTAATCATGATTGGCAGTTAATTCTATTAGGACTTGAAATACATCATTCCATACCCACCTGGAATACAGGATTTCTGCTAAGAAATCTGTTGTGAATCTAACTGAGTTGCCCTTAAGTGTGACTTGGCCTTTTTTCTCCTGCACATTTTTAAATTCTTTGCCCTGTACTTTGACAGTCTGATTATATGTTGTGATAAGAATCTTTTTTGATCATGTTTATTTGGAGTTATAAAGGACTCTTGTGCTTGATTTACCATATCTTTCCCAATATTAGGTAAGTTTTGTGCTATTACTTTATTGAATATGTTTTCTATGTTTCTTAACTTTTATTTCTTCCCTTTTGGATATGTTGATAAGCTGGACATTTTATCTTCTAAAAGTGTCTCAAGGATCCTATGCATTTTCTTCTTTCTCATTTTTTCCTTTATTTTCTTTATTCTTTTGAAAGTGACATTTCAAAAGATGTTCTCAAGCTCTTGATATTTTTCCACCTGATCTAGTCTGATGAAACTTTCAACTGTATTTATAGTAATTGCATTTATACTTATAAAGCTTTTCATTTCCAAAGTTTCTCTTTGCTGAATTTCTCATTCATATCCTATAATGTCTTCCTAATAATTTCATTGAACTTTTTGTGTTCTCTTGTATCTCACTGAGCTTTATAAAGATCACTTTTGGAATTCTTGATTAGGCATGTCTTCCTTTTTGACATATTTGGAATTTGTTACTAAGGGAGTTATCAACCTATTTAAGAAGCATGATATTGCCTTGTTTGTCCATATTTCTTGTGTTTCTATGTTTAAGTTGATACAACTGATGACATGAATATCTACCACTTTTATGGATGGCCTTCATAAGCCAAGGCCTCTAGAAGATGTATTGGGGTATCAATGTGTTATATAAATTGTTATTTCCAGTTGGGACCCATACAGAGAAACTCTCTATGGGCTGCACCAGAATGGGGGGAATCCAGCAATCCAGGCAGATATGGTAAAAGTAGCAGAGTGTGTGGGATGCATCCTAGTCATTCCTACAATGGGAATGGTAGCCCCTACTGGGTAATATGGGTTTCCTTAGGCACTGCTGATATTGGCTGTTACTTGAATGAGTCTCTAGTACTGGCTGCTCAAGTAGTGGTGAAGGGTTTTGAAGCACTTGTCCCCTTGATTAGATACCACTGTGGGTCCAGTTGCTTCAAAGGGATAGATGCAAGCAGGAATCACAACACGCTCTCTATTGCATTTACATCCAGTCTTGACAGTGGTGCATGATCACTTGAAGTGTGGGGCAAGTGATACAGGGGAGCCACATAAGTGCAAATGCAAGAAAAGTGTTATTCCTCTCTGCTATTACTGTGGGTATGCCTGCCAAAAAGCAGGACCCCAGATTCCCCCTAGATATGCACACCTATGGACAGTTATAGTGTCTGCCAGGAAGTAAGTGGGTGAGAATCTCTCACTACCAGTGTCCCAAACTACCAGAGCACCACCTGCACTCACTCTAGGAACTAGGGAAGGTCCTTTCCCTGGCCCACAGCCTTTGGACTGCTGCCGCAAAAAATCCTTAACTTACCCGTGCCTGTCTCATGGGTCTTGGGCCAGATTCCCTCTATGCCCCAACTAGATAAAAAGCCTGAAATCTGCAGAGTAGATTGACTTTGGAAAAAAGAGCACTGTAGCTGGAATCCATGTTCAGAAGGGATCTATTGTCTGAATTTGGACTGTTCGGGTGGGTCTGGAAATCCCTGTATAGCCCTATCTCTGAGAACCTACAGATACCCCACTGCATTGGCTCTGTGGGTGGTTCCTCACAAGTCAGACATGGTTTGGTGGAATGTCTGTGACACAAAACCCCTGAGAATACTGGAGTTGGGAACAAGTATTGAGATGTGCAAGAGTAAAGGTTGCTCTCTCATAAGAACCAGGGGAGAGGAAAACCTGCCTTCTAAGATCAGGATGGCCAGGAGGTATAGTTTCATGCAGGTGTCAGGATTGAGGGCAACTACCTGCTCAGTTCCTGTCACCCTTATTTCAGTGCTATTCATGGACCTGTTGGCCACTATGGCCCCAGCTGTAATCCTGCCTAAGAAGGTTCAGAGAGAAACTCTACCCATTAACACTACACTCCATTTCCCCCTTACACCTGATAATTCCTCAACTGTGAGGAGTTTTACCTGGCTTCTGCTGAGGCCCAATCCCACTCAGTCCTTGGGAGGTAGAACAAAAGAAATGAGGAATCTGAGCCCTGGCTGTTACTACACTTTCAGGGTACACAGTCTAAGAAGGTTGAGAGAGAAACATCCTCGCATTCTACTTTTACTCTTTCTTCAGAGACAGGAATGGGTGGGACTCAGGTTTATGGCTATCACAGCTGCTGGCCTTGAAGCTGCAAGATGCTTAGGGAGCTGTCTTTGGTACTATGAGATGCACATAGGCCTAAGTCTTCTGGCAGTGTCAGGGGGCTAGCTGTTGGCTCCTTAGGCAGGATGGAGTCCGATGGTAGCTAGTAGTGGCTATTGTACCAGCTTGGATTCTGAGGGTTGGACAAGGCCCAAAGTGAATTACTTTTTTGGAGTAGAGCAATCCCTGTTAGATAAGCCAGTTCCCTAAACTGAATTTAAAGTCTGTGAGAACCAAGAAATTCTCCTACAGTAAAAACTACTGGTCTGTTGCTGTTAATGGGGTTGCTAAAATTGTGGGGCTCTTCTCCCCAGCAACCCTAGCTAATAGGGAGACAGGGCTAAAGTTGCAATTTGTTTTTTTCTCTAGGCTGCCTTTCTGACTCTCCATGATGTTTAAAGTTCCCATATTTTTTTTGCTGATTTCCAGAATTCTCCCCCAAAATTACTCTCCTCAAAATACAGGGGTATTTTTGTTGCCCTGGTTCTTCTCTATGGCAGAATTGCATATAAGAACCTCTACTCAGCCATCTTGGATCCTCTCTCCACAAATTTATGTCTTTTTCCTTGATTAAAAAGCTAATTCTCATCAATGAAAAAATTAGCACAAAATCTTCCAAAGTAAATTAAAAGCAGGCTTCCAGCTTAGCCAACTATTATATCATCAATTGATTCTCAAATTATCATTCATATAAAAGAACAAATGAGGGGCTGGAGATGTGGCTCAAGCGGTAGCGCGCTCACTTGGCATGCATGTGGCCAGGGTTCGATCCTCAGCACCACATACAAACAAAGATGTTGTGTCCGCCGAAAACTAAAAAATAAATATTAAAATTCTCTATCTATCTATCTATCTATCTCTCTATCTCTTTCCCTCTCTCTTTAAAAAAAAAAAGAACAAATGACACAATTTAAAACTTTGCTGAGTATTCTTTTGGTAGTCACTAGTGGGATATCCATAAAATTCTATTTCATTCCATCAGAAATTTATTTTGCTATTAAATGGAATTTTGAAGGGTAGGAAAAAAAAATTCCTGTTAAGTTACAACAAAGATTCATTAAAGATATGAATCAAGATCTTTAACCACATGAAACTTAAAAATCTATTCAGCTTTTTAAGAAAAAAAATGAATTCTGGAACATTAAAATATCTTTTACCTCGTAATGAACAAACTGGTCCATTTTCTTGATTTTTAGAGCGCTTACTTCTGAACTGACTTGGAATATCCAATGAAAGGTCTTAAAATGAAATAGGAAAACACAAGATTTGTTAAAGGAATATAACTTCTCAAAAAATAATCTTGAAAAAGATGTATTTATAAAGATTTTTTTCCTTTGAAAAATAATACCATAAACATTAAAATTATTATTTTAATAAAACAGCATATATGCATATGTCAAGTATGTCTTACCTAGAAATGGATCAAATTTCCTTGACTCTGTCCCACATATGAGGCAGTTGACCTCATTCTGGAGAATGCCTCCAAATATAGCCGTAACAACAGTTGATGCTCCATTTCTGAAGAAAACACCATATGGGAAACATCTCACTAAAAACCACTTCTTTGGAAGAATATGTATATAATTTATATTTACTTAAATTATGAACTAAAAACATCAAAGCTATATATACATATACTAAATAAAAGGTTTAAGCTACTTGTCTTCCCCTTTTAATCCTGCTACTTTCTCCATAAACAACTAACACTTATATTCATGATGTATTTGTATTAACAAATGTATATGTTGTTACCCCTTCCACCACCTGCCCTCACATATCCCTCATAAAGGAGGAAACTGCTATATATTTGAATCTTTGCAACACTTCTCATAATGTACTGAATTCTTACAACTACTCAACTTTTAATGTTATCCTCAGTGTGAAGAAATTTAATGCAAATTTAGTAATTACTGCTAGATGTATAACTTAAATTGAAAGTGCTGAGTGTAACTGTTGAAAAACCTTTTTTAAAAGTTCACAAAAAATAAGACTAATTTTCTTGTAGAGATCAGAAATATATAAATTTAAGAACAATGAAAAATGTTACATAAGCCCTTTGTGCCTCTGCTATAGCAAATGTATACAGGATAACAGGAACAGCACCTACCCCAGAGGCCTGATGTGACAATGAAATGTGTTATAAATATACTTTAGAAGAGTGCTTTTAGCAAAAAGAAACCATTTGAAGTATTTGTCATTGTTTTATTAGCACAAAGTCAGATTACACCTGCTATTTGCTTCCCCTGCCCCCTCCAAGTATATATCTTCATCATCGTGTACCTCTGATAGCTTCAGTGTGTCACAGCAGGGACATACCATGGGCTCAAAAGGGCACCAACGAGAGCAGGAATAGCAAACACCTGTAGAGTACTATTTTGTAGGCTCCTTTCTAAGAATCCTCAAATAGCTCTATAAGGTAGAAGATACTGGTATCTTCATTTTACAGACTAGGAAGCTGAGGCCAGGGGTAAAGTGGCCTGTCTCAAGGTCTGGCCTGAGCATCTGCTCTTAACACTATATTCCTTCTCTTAATTTAACCAAGATAATATTAATAGATATTGAAATGACTTCAGTTTTTGCTATCATCAATAGTACTACAATGAATGCCTTATGCACTTACTTGAGACAGAAAACCTATTAACAATTTAAGATGGTTTCTATCACTTAAAATTCAATTGTACTTTCTGAGTTACTCCAATTAACCTTACTGCAATGATAAAGCAGACAAAAAACCCAAGCAATTTTTCTATTTGAAAACTTTGATTCCTTTTCAAGGAAAGGCTTCCTTACTTGACTGGTAGAAGAAAAAGATTGATTTTATTATTTTAAAAAGAGTTCATAAGACACACTGGCTTTAGTAAATTAAAAAATGGAAGATACACTGAGAACCATAGACATTTCAGACTTATACCTGTGTCATAAATAATGTACCCCAAAACTACCTACTACAAATGATGGAGCTATAACTGACCCTTTTATACTGATGGTCACATTTAAGTTTACCTTTAATTAAAATGGAACTGGTTACTCCATTAAAAAGCAGTATATTTAAACTCAACATAGCTCGCTCTTCTTTTATAATCACTTCCTCTGAGAAATCAAGTTTTGGTTATCTGAAGTATATAGTGTACCATGACTTTAAAAAAGATTAATAATTAATTTCAGAATTGCTGTTGCATTATATTAAAACTGTATTCCAAGAGAGCTTAAATACTGAGGCTCTTACAGTGCTGGGGTCCTTTCTATTACACTTAACAACTTTCTACATTAAAAAGAATACATCTGCCATTTTTTATCCCCCTTCAATAGGAGTGGGTGTATTTATATGAGTAAACAGAGATATTGCATATGGGATATTTTTCTATTTTCAGCAAATAAACATAGATTCTGAAATGCCTCCTCCCATGTGCACTGAAGGAAATAAAAGGAACAGTGAATTTTTAATATTTGATTATATATATATTTTCTTTCTAGTCCTAACTCAAAAATGGAACTTGCAATTACTATTTGTTAAAAATGTCAAGAAAGGGTATAGACTAACACTGAAAACTCAGAACTAAAAGAACATCCTACATTATTATACAAGGGTGTCCTGGGCATCATATAAAATAATAAATTTCACAGTCTACCCATTTTAGAACCCAGTTCAATATCCATTGTGTATCAATATGCTATGATATAATACAAACAGAAATTTTCATTTAATATATACACCTTTAATTTGGTGCTAGCAAGAAAAACAATTTTCCTTTCCTTTCTATATGGGAGTCTAAATGGTGTCACAGCTACTAGAACCTGGAGGGACAAACTTTTTGAGAAATAATGGCAATTCACATCAGTTGCCTTTCTCTGTTAATGCCAGATTAGCTATGAGGCTGCTTTGTCATTAAAAAGATCAAGTCTTGCTGAGCACAGTAGTGCATGCCTATAATTCCAATGTCTTAGGAGGCTGAAGCACATGGATCACAAAGTTCAAATCCAGCCTCAGCAACTTAGTGAGACCCAAGCAATTTGGTGAGACCCTATCTCTAAATATAAAAAAGAGCTAGGGGATATGGCTCAGTGGGTAAGTGCCCCTGGTTCAATCTCCAGTACCAAGAGGAAAAAAAAATCAAGTCTTACTAAACCAGGTTTATTTTATGTATTACTCTTTTTTTCTTTGAGGGAGTCTTATAAATCCCTTTCCTATATAAATCAGTATTGACAATTTTTTTAATTTGAATAAAATAAAACTATAATTGACCAAAATCCAGGCTTAAATAACTAAGTCACTCCTTCTTTAAGCAAAATAAATTCTCTGGTCTGAAAGCATATTTTGGCTACTAATATACAAGAAAGTGGTTTGTTTTTATCCATGTTGAGAGGCAAGTAAAAAATAGAGAACTTAAAATTTCCTCAGTTTCATTTAAGAAGATAGACTTTAGAAAAATTCACATTCTTTTAAGCTTTTGTGTTTGGTAAATATAAAATTATTTTGTTATAAAAATTAAGTCTAAGACTAGGGCACGGATTGTGGCTTAGTGGTGGATTATTTGCCTCACATGCATGAGGCACTGGGTTCAATTCTCAGCACCATGTATAAATAAATGAATAAAATCAAAGATCCATCAACAACTAAAAAAATTTTTTTAAATTAAGTCTACATATTATTCTACACATTTAGAGGAAATTTTTTAAAGACTAAATTATACTCATATTTTCTCTATTTCGTTTTTAAATAATCTATGCAAAAAACAATCAGAACTATATTAAAATGCAAATACAAGACTCCTCTAATCTGGAAGCAAGACATGTTAATATGTTAGTCCATTTCACAAAGTTCAAGCCCATTTGGTGCACGAAAGTTTCAGCAAATGTCCAGCTTACCCCTCCATCTTCTATAATCTAACACATAATTTCACCAACAGAAATGTCAGAGATCCTCCGGAAAAAAAAAATAAAAAGAAAAACCAAAAGAAACTAAATCTTACATGCAGCATTTGTTACTTGCAGGCAGAGTAGAATTCTCCTGCAGAATTGCTGAGCGGGATACTCCATTGAAACCACCCTGAAGTTCCAAGTGTAGGTGGTCCAAAAGGTAGCGCATGAATTCATGGGCATCCTGTTGCTGATAGCCCCTTGAAGCAAACAGAAACAGTTATGTGGAAGGCTCTGCCTGCCCAGCCAAACACTGGGGGTGAAAGGGTGGAACAGGCAAAGTGCCTGGAAGGACTGAAGCCATATGGTCACAAGAACACCAAGTCTTCATCACCCTTTACCCCACTAGCTCTACATAATACAAAAAATTTCTCTTCCAAACTGAATTTGCTACTTAAAAATAAGCTTAAAAACCACTGAATATTAGAGCTAATTGCATTTGTAATGGTATCCTCAACTGCTTCTCTGCTTTAGAGAGGAGAATACTGAGAGGCAAAAAAAAAAAAAAAAGGGTCTCCTGGATAGTTGCTGAAGCGTCCTACTATCCCATATAGAGCCTCTCTAGAAAGGCTCAAATGTTAAAGTTTCACATCTTACTCTCATCAGAAAACTAGGCATAAACGACCACTTTAAGAAATAAAGAATTTAGAACTCCTTAGATAGAAAAATACTGATTTTTTAAAATTTGAACAAAATTAAACTATAATTGACCAGAATCTAGGCTGAGATAGCTAAGTCATTCCTTCTCTCTGAAAGAAAGGAAGAAAAACCTTACACAAAGAGTTAAAGATGTCCTTCACATTCTATAGTTGCATCTTAATCTCTAATCCAAAAAGACAAAATACTTTTTTAAAATGCATTGACTCTTATACAATTGTGACATTCTTATATTATATCTTACATATATGCAGCCAGGATGTTACATGGAATTCTTACACTAATACAGATCAGTGGTAAGAAAACACTGAAAGCAGACAGAAAAGTGACACATTTGGAAGGTTTTGGGCTAGTCAGATTAAAAAAAAAAAAATCAAGCAATGATATATAAAATACTTTCATAAAACCATAATAGAAAGGACTTCTGTCTACATTTTGCCAGCATAGAAGTTTCCTTGTAATCAATCTAAATCTTCTGATGTGTGGGATTTGTTTGTTTGTTTGTTTTGTTTTCTGACACCAGGGATTGAATCCAGGGACATTTAACCACTGAGCCACATGTCCAACCCTTTTTTGAGACCGGGTCTTGCTAAATTGCTGAGGCTGGCTTTAAACTTGGAATCCTCTTGCCTCAGCCTTTCAAGTCATTGGGATTATAGGCATGTGCCACTAAAAACATTTACAATCCCCCTTTTTTCCCTAAAGATCTTGATTGATTTTATTTTTGCTTCTAGAATTTGGTTATATTTCATTACATAAAACAGAATGTGTTTCCTGTAATTCTATTTTTAAACATTTAAATATATAATTTCCTTGACTTATCTGAAAGCCTTAATAAATATTATCTAGTATGTTAAATTCAATAAACTTCAGTGATCTTGTCAATTATTTCCCAATCATACCATCAAGGCTTCTGAAACTTTCTCTGTAGTCAACTTAGATTTCTCTTGTTCTATAATCATGCTAAAAGAAACACTCTTTACATTCAGGTGTATGTTTATGTTCTGTATTCATATTTCAACCATGTCACTCAAACAATTGCTTGTAAACTAATGAGAAAAAGAATTTATGAAGAGCTAACTGTCTTTTTGACAAGAGAATTAAGACAGAAGGAAATAACAATGGCCCCAATTTTAACAAAAGTTCTGTATCTTCACTTGTTCATAAACTCAGATAAAATTATCCCCTGTTCCTAATGTCTACATAAAATCTGCAGTAAAGTTGTCATGAGCAATCATTATTAGAGAGCACACTACAAATATAGAAAGCCAAAAAGGTCTTGAAGCATTATTCTGAATGGAGGGTTAAGAAAGAAGAACACTGGTAAAGCACAAGGAATAAATAAGAACACAGGGGCAACTGTCTCTTCACAATAATTTTTGGCACAATAAAGACAAACCAAATTTAGCCAAATCTTAAGGACAAAGAAGTGTTCTGATAAAGAATAATCAAAGAGCTAGGTGTGGTGGTATACACCTGTAATCCCAGTGACTTGGGAGGCAGGAGAATCACAAGTTCAAAGCCAGCCTCAGCAACTTAGCAAGGCCTTACGGACTAGCAAAACCATCTCAAAATAAAAAAGGGGCTGGGGACGTGGCTCAGTGGGTAAGCACCCCTGGATTTGATCCCTGATACCATAGAAAAATGATAATAATTGAAGAAAAGGTTTCTTTGTACTGCTTAAGTATAAAAAGCAAGCATTCCAAATAATGCAACAGATATCACCAGCTAAAGATATGCAATTACTTGTGTGATACAACATGCAAAACTGACATTCCTATGCATTACTGACTATTTGGGGTTTTGGCAGTGTCACTATATAATTTGGAAAATGGCAAAGACCAATAAGGAATAGGATATGCCTCTATAAACTCAAACATTATCATTCTAGAACTCCCTCTAAATTACTTAGGACACATTAGAATTTTAGTTTCTATTCATATTTAAAATGTCTTTAATATTTATACAAAAATTCTAAGTTACTGTTTTGGGAAAAATATCTGCAAAACCAAAATATGTTGATTTATTTCTATCCAATATTTGATATCAATCATGGCTGAGTTGCCTAAAGACAAAAACTCCAGAAAATAAAAATGACAAAAGTGAATTTGTGTTTATACAAAATAATAATTTCTTAGCTAGAAAAATATTGGTTTTTTTTTAATATTTATTTTTTAGTTTTCGGTGGACACAACATCTTTATTTGTATGTGGTGCTGAGGATCGAACCCAGCACTGCGCACATGCCAGGCGAGCGTGCTACCGCTTGAACCACATCCCCAGCCCAAGAAAAACTAATATTGTTTAAATAACATTTTTAAAGTCCTTCTATTTATAAATATTTCAAAAGATTATTAATATACCAATGCAAAGATCTATGTTGTTTATAAATATTTTTTATACTTTCTATAAAAACCAAGAAGAAAAGCTAATCAATAAGAATAATGTCTCAGTTACTTAATTCTCCCATTACTTTTAAAAACATTGGTTGTAACAAGAAATGATTAAAAAATAAATAAATAAAAGTTCTGTGTTAGGAAGTTAAGGCAAATAAATTAGGTTATACATTAAAGTAGAAATAGCATAAGAGTGACATGAAAAGCAAGCAAATACTATCAGGACCTGATATGAATTATTAAGAGACCTTCTCAAAGTATTAACATTAAGCTGAATCCTAAAGAAAGAAGATAGGGAATAACAAGGTAAATACTATAGGCAGAAGCATATGACATACAAAGATATCAAAGCAACAAAACAAAATCATGGAAAGGAAAGCAAAGAATAACAAAGGCTAGCATAAAAGACTACCAAAATTACAAAAGAACATACCCTTTGACCCCACAATTCCTGAATGTGTATGTATAAGACATTTCATTGTAACACTGTTTAGAATGGCAAAAGATTACAAAAAAAAAATCTATACAACCATTGGTAGGGGAGTATTACATAAATTATGACACACGTGTAAAATGGACCAAAGAAGCTATTTACTAACGTGAATCATGTCAAAGTAAAACAAAAAAGAATAACATGATGTCAGTTATGTTTAAAATCAACATAGACACACTTGTTAATAATATATGTACACAGATTATCAATGAAAAAATGCACAAAAATCTAGTAAATATGACTGTTTCCAGAAGACAGAATGAATGGTAAGGGAAGAGAGTAAATGAAAAAACATTCACTGCATATTCTTTAACCTTTTGAATTTTTAACCATGTATGTCTTACTTTTTTTTTTATTAGCTACACATGACAGTACAATGATCTTGACAGTTCATACATTTGAATCAAATGGGGTATAATTTCTCATTTTTCTGATTGTACAGGTTGCAGAATCATATTAGTCATACAGTCACCTATATACATACAGCAATAATAATGTCTATTTTATTCTGCTGCCCTTCCTATCCCCCCTTCCCCTCCCCTCCCCTCCCATCACTTCTCTCTATCCAATCTAATGTGACACACTTTTTTTCTTTAAAGAAGTAAACTTCATAAGTTTTATGAAAAAGACAAGAATAGGAAGAGAGGGACATACTAGGAAGTCATTAGCGTGCTAAGTGGATATGTACAGTGGAAAAGGTCAGGAAAATTTTTCCTGCTGGCTTTTGGTTTGAGGGTGGGGGAGAAAAATTATCCTTGATTTCTTTATCCAAAGCTGCTGATTACATTTAAGAGCATTTTTATGCTGCATTTATTTAATAAATGAAAGTTGTTCCTCCTACATGAAGTTTATATTTCTCAATCATATTTCATTCCAGGGGATCAAGTTCCTTAGACATTGTTATGTGATAATCAGGAAAAATGAGCTTTCTAAACTTAAAAAAAATGACTTAGGGTTGTAAATAAATGTAATAAAAACATAATTCAAGACTCATTGTGCTTCCACATAGTCATGTTTTAAGAATCTCAAAACACACCTAATAGAAATAAGAGCTATTAGAAGAAAAGCCCACCTTCTTGCCTCATACCTGGGCACACACAAAAGCCTTAACCATGATATAATCCCAATATCTAGACCTAACAAAGAAAATTATTCTTTCATTACATGAAAAAGGAAAATGATATTAATTACTACAGAACTAAAAGAAAGCCCAGCCAAGAAAATAATAGCACCTAATTCTCAGCAATCATTAAGGAATTTTAAGAGTTCATGTATATCAGAAATCACTCCAGAAGCCAGGCGCAATGGCACATGCCTGTACTCTCAGTGACCTCGGAAGGCTGAGGCAAGAGGACTCCAAGTTCAAAGGCAGCCTCAGCAACTTAGTGAGACTGACTCAAAATAAAATAAAAATAAGGGGTGGGGTGTAGACCCACAGTAGAGTGTCCCTGGGTTTAAATCCCCAATCACCCCAGACAATCCATGCTGAATTCCTCAAGCTGGTTTTCTGTTCTAAAAAATTCTTTCCCTATTGTTATGGTTTAGATATGTGGTATCCCCGCCCCCCCCCCCAAAAGCTTATGTGTGATTCAATGCAAGAAAGTTTAGAAGTGAAATGATTGGGCTAACCCAATCAATGAATTAATCCCCTAACAGGGTGACTGGTGACTACAGACCGAGTGTCCCTGGAGGAGGTGGGTCATTGGGGGAGGCATGCCTTTGGAACATATTTTGTGAGCTGAACTTAGTCACTCTTTGCTTCTTGAGCATGTCCTGAGATACTTTCCTCCACCACAATCTTCTGCCATCATGTTCTGCCTCACCTCAAGCCCCAAGGTCCCAGCTATCTAGGGACCAAGTTCTCTAAAACCATGAGCCCTCAAATAAGCTTTTCCTCTTTTAATTATTCTTGTCAGGTTTTCGGATCACAGCAATTTGAAAAAGCTGACTAAAACACCTACCAGTAGGAATATCAGAATGTGAAAATTAAGCAGCTAAAAACTAAATCATGTTCACAATTGGGCCATAGAAACTAGAAAGAGCAGAGATGTGGGAAGATTTAGAGGGAAAGTAGAATTATGTTATATAGAAGTACAATAACTTTTCTAAACTTCCAAAGAATGAAGGGCCTAATTGTTTACCCTGGGGACCAAGAACAATATAAAATTAGTTAGTGGGTCTCATGCAAGACATGTGGACAAATTACTATTAATGTGTGTATTATTAACCAACTTCACAAACACCTAGGTTCCAATTCTGTTCATGATATCTAGTGGATGTATAACACTGAAGAAGTTGGTTCTCTTGTTTCGACTTCTATGAGATGGGAGTAACACTTCCCACCTTGCTTTGAATTTTTTTGCTGTTTGTTTTTTAATGAGGATCAGATATAAAATTTTCTGCTTGCCACATTATACGCATTCAATAAGTGAAAATTATTAACAGAATACAAAGATTAAATCCCTATTCAAGAGTCCAACTAGGTGATGACTGTGTTAGAAATAACCCGACTAGTAGTATCTTAACAATCATTGCTACCTTTCCTAGTTAAGAGTAAGGGAATTCTAAAAATTCTTATAAAATTAGTCTCTCCTAAGAGGAAATTTAAATGGCATGATACATAAGTTCCTTTCAAATCAAGACCAGGATTAAAAGTAGTTATTCAGGTCAGATCCTCAAAACTATACTTTTCAGCAAGGCAACAAATTTCAGTCCTTTGAAGTTGTTAACTTTTAAACATTTCTCTATACTAAAAAAAATAATCTATTAGGCAATAAAGCAAGATATATTTCTATATCTTGTGTGCTGTTTTTAAGCAAAGGAAAAGAAGATATATACTAGGTACCAAAATCATGACTAATAAGAATCAAACTCATTCAGGAGTGGTAAAGGCTGTTGTCCAACACCTGCAGTGCACCACATCTACTATTTATTATCTGAATCCCTACAAGGCCGACTAACCCAGAAGATGTCAGCTATCTCTTCTGACAGCACATGTAGCCAGAGAGGAAGCCCCTATAACACAGTCCCTCTACCACTATGTCAGGATGGGCACTGTAACACTCTGCAGCATAACTCCTAATGGATATGAATAGTATTTTCAGAGCATTAGAACCCATATCAGAAGAGTGAATATAACACCATGGATTTCTACTTTTCTTTTGTATATTTTTAATTGGTGTAACAAGACAGTATATGATGGCAATTACTCTAAGAGTTTCAAAGAACCAAGAAAATTTTGTCCAGTATTTTTCTTAGCATACATGTTATATATAAGGGTTTTATTTTTATAACAAAATACCCTACCCTTTGTTAAAGATCTTTCTAATGTATATTATTTATAATTTAAATAAATAAGTTTGTTTAGTCAAATGTATTCAACTTCCTTTTTTTTTAAAAAAGGTATCATCTAGAATAGTTAAAATATCACTACTTTATCAGAAATTGTTTTAGAAGAAGTGTAAAGACTAATTTTGTTCTAAAATATCCTTCTTTAATACTTACCTAAAATTTGGCATTATCTTCCAAACAACATAAAACAAAGATTCCGGGCTAAATGCAGTTTGGCTGCCTTGCCATAAAGCACAGAGTGTTTTTCTAAACTCTTCTACCAAAGACCTGGAAAAGAGGAAGGAACAATATTAGCATTACTAATAGTAATATTAGCATTACTAATAAGGGGCTACTATTTCAATATAATGTTTAATTGTCTAAAATGTATAAGTGAAAAATAAAAGCTTTAAAAGGGCTTAGTCTTTTCTGAACTACATTTGACCACCAAATAAGAGCACCTCAAAAACCCATAGACATAGCAGTTAATTGCTGACAAAACTAGTTTTTAAGCACATCGTTAACTCTGAGAATACTACAGTACTGCCAAATTTATACATTCTGAATTTTTTTAAATGCACAGAAACAATAAAGCAGTGGAAAATTTATAGCCAAATCCTTTAAGAATGTCCATTTTAAAAACATAAAACAAGCAATAGCATCTCTTTCTCCATCTCCTGCATTTTTTTTCTTTTCCCTCCTTCCTTCTTACTTTAGTACTAGGGACTGAACCCAACTGAGCTACATCCCCAATTCTTTTTGTTTCTTATTTTGAGACAAGGCCTTTCTAAGTTGCTGAGACTGGCCTGATTCTCCAGCCTCAGCCTCCCAGGTCACTGGGATTACAAGCATGTGTCACTGCCCTGCATTTTTCCTTCTTGCCCATCACTAGGAGCTCTTCTTAGATGTTAACCTGTGAACATTTGCTCTCTTCTGCCTCAGAATTCATGTGGTCACAAAGTTTTTAATGCTCAAAACTGTACCCAGACAATCAAATCCAAATTTAAAAGTCAAATTCTTCCATGGCCATTTTTATTCAGGTATCTCTGGTTTCCAATATGAATTTTCTACTGGAGGTCCTCTTGTTACTTCAAATTCAATGTGATTTAAACAGCTCAAGTACCTACTATTCTCTTTACTCTCCCTACTGTCACCCAGTATCCATTTTGTTCTACTCTCATAAGAATAGGACTATCATTTTTGCTGAGTGTACGAATTGCCAGAATAAAGAACTGTGAGTGTACACAACTTTAGGGAAATTTTCTTAAAGAGAAAGAGTAGTTCTTATTGATCCATTTCCTCTTTCCTCAAGCTGGAATGAAGATGTAATGGCGGATAAGAGTCTCACCTTAATGATTGCTCCAACAGAAACCAGAGGAACTTGATGACTTTGTGAAACAACCCTAGGCAAATAACCTCTGACTCTTACATGAGAAAATAAACCATGGATGTTTAAGTCACTGTTAATTTTTATTTTCCATGCATGTAGCTATAACTACATATTCAACTTCAACTTCTCTGTCAATATAACAACCACACCCTTGGATACTCAATTAATGCATATATCAGAGAACCTTGATACCTTCCTTCTCAACCCCTATAATCCAGGTCCCTGGGATACAAATTGTATATTTGACTTCCTAGGACCTGAACCTCTTCCTGCATTTGGGAAATTTGCCACTGTAAGCATCTTAGTGGGAGTCAGAGCCTGCCGCCTACCAGAAGCTGAAAAGTCCAGATTCTGGCTTTCTCAGCCTCCCTCACAATCAGAACACATATGTGGCCTGAGTTCTCAACATCTGAAGCACGGTAAGTGACAAAAAGAATCAAGGACAGCACCAAACCCTCTCTGTCAGTGGTAGCAGCAAAGATCATCACCCAGAGTCCAGGGACAGCAGTTAAGGGGCCTTTACCAGCACCCATCTCCATTAGGAACTGTGACATCAGGCTGTGCAGGAAGGCAGCAGTGTCCTTACAGGACAGTTCTATCCCCTCCTACCCAATTGAAGCCTGCTTGAATGCAAGCACTTTCCACCTCGTCCTTCATACTGCTATAAAATAAAACTCCCTTCCAACACCACTCATGTGACATTATTCCATTCCTGCTCTGATGCCTGGTTTCCCCATCCTGGGGATCTACCCATATTGCCCATTTTTCTAACATGTTCTATCCTACTCTTCCTCAGACACTGTCAGATTATAAAATGATGTTTCAAAATGAGTAGCAATGGAAGTGTGTGGATTTGAGATAGGCAGACAGGGAAAACATTAATTATATACAGATTACAAGTCACTGCTCTATTTCAGAAAAGACATGAAAAATCATGATTATATAGCAGATCTTCTGAACCCTAAATAGGAAAAGGCTATAATGAATTTAAGTTTGGTCCTTAATATCTGTTTTTCCCCTCTTCATATCAATTAGAAATTGTATTGCCCTACAATTAATCTGTTGGCTACAAATTAATTTTATTAGCCAAGACAGGTTTACTGAACACTATCAGACAAGTCAAGTCACATAAACTAATGATATTCATGTTAGTCTACACCTAGAACTCTATCTAGATGTCAATTCTAGAATGCCCAAATTAGCAAAGACTCAACAAGTAGAATGCTAAATTTATCCTTCCTGTTATAGTAAACAGAAAGAAAAGAATTTCAACAATTATTAAGATTGCCAGCTAGATACTTAAAATACAATTTTCCCTACAGTTTTTATAACATGCCTATGAACTCAAATAATACAATAAAAATCACTAGTGAGAGTCATGTGTTTTGCAGCTCAAAGCCAGAAAGGACATATTCTGATAACTCACACATTGTTATCCCCTTGGCTCCTGGTGTGATATGTTCGCCTTCCTGCTGTTTTCCCATTCCTTAACTCCACAGCGGGCAGTTCTTTGAAATAACAGCAAAACTGCTCAATGTTACTATTTTAAAAGAAAGGGAAGAAAATGATTTTTTTTTAAAAAAAGAACAGAACAGAATTTAATATAACTGTAAAGAAAGTTCTATGAAATCTAGCTATGGATTTTGAAAGTGTAATCTTTCAATTAATTGTCACATTTTAAGTTGTATTAAATACGATCTCTTGTATTGAATTGCTTCATTATAGTTCTTCATGCACTAAACAGTATGGATAACTTTGTAGAAATGAACAAAGAACTTAAAATCTCTTCAAAAATATCTCCAATTTTCCTTACATCTATTGATTGACACCATTACTCTCTTTAGGGTGCTTGTTTCTAGGTATTTGATAATTTCCTTAAATAAAAACAAACCATATTATTTATATAACATTATACAGAATCATAAGAATGTACCTTTAAGGAAAGATCAAATATGGTTCTTCTCCTTATTAGAAATTTGATTTGGGAAGATAATTTACTCTAGCATGTGATACATCTAACACTATACAATTCTCAAAATATTCTGCTGATGTCAGACTTGTTGGCTGTTTCATTTTTATTATTTCTCTTACATTTTGAAGATCTTCTAAATGTGTAATCTTATTACCATGCTGGAAACTTAACTAATGACTAAAATAAACTCTCTGAATAAGGGAACTGCAAACTGGTCCAAAGGCCAAATGTAGCACTTGGTCAGGGAGTTTTTACATTTTTACAGTAAGTTTTACATGAGGAGGAGG